AGTCTAAACTCAGGAGCTCAGTTTCTGAGGCCTTTTCCCTGTCTTTCCCAGCCAATATTTAGCAAGCGATGGCTTATAATATCACATCAACTATACAATTAAAGAGAATGAAAAAGCTGTGATTTGGGGGAAGGTACACCTGAATTAAGTTTGAATAAATTTGATATTTCTTGCTTTGTTAACTTAATTTTTTATTCCTGAGCATATATGAAACATCCCATTCCTTAATCCATATCACATATTAAGAGGTCTTGGGCCTGGCCATGGGCTTCCTTTGGAGTTTTGATATCTGCAGCCAGAATATTGTCCTCACATACGGCTCAGGTCCCAGCTAGTCAGAGTCAAGGCTTGTGTCCTGTCCTTCCCCTGGTGAATTCCTAACACAAGACAAGGGCAGGCCCTTGCTCATGGCTCTGAGGGACCTGGAGGACAAGAATCAAGAAACTGTTCTGTCTTCCACATGCTGACCTGCACCCACCCTTCACTTCGCATAGCCTGCGCCCATTTCCACGTCACAGCTCCTGCTGGTCCATGTAGAGTCGAAGGAGTGTGTGGGCTGCAGTAGCAACATGTCACTACTACTTGCCTTGTCTTCCCAGAGGACCACCCAGGACTAAGAGTCACATGTCACTTCTATTAAATAGTCACCACACATCCCAACTGCTTTTTAAGAAAAGGTGGTAGAAAGGAAGGAAAAAAGTCCATTTTATGTTCAGGGTTCTGGTCTCCACCTGGGGTCGCCTTAGGGACCAGTAAAGTCGATATCAATGACACTGGGGGTCACGTAGAGATGCTGGTGCCATCTCTAGAATGCATAAATAAATGTCAGTGTTGATTAAAGCTTTCTAATTAGTCTGCATGAGTTAGGAAAAGGTGGAGTCAGTTCGAAAAGTCTTTTAACCTTTTTTCTCTAAGGAGCAGCATTTTATAAATTTCCAGGTTAGTTGGAAAGGTCCCTTTCTGCATTGCCTTTTTCACTGAACAGACACTGTTGCCTGAGCCAGAGCAGAGGTCCCTGTGGGGGCCTGGGACTGCTAGAGAGCATCTGGGGACAGGCAGGGACAGGCTGAGGGCCCTGCAGCTGTGGTGAAGCACCCATTGTTCATTCTCTCGCTTCAATCAAGCATCTACTGAACATCTGTTGTAAACATGACCTTGTACAAGGCTCGGAGGACAGAAGATTCAAGGAGACAATGACACTGTGAGGCTGACTCTAAAGCCTCCAGATGCTCTCCTGGAATCACGCACAGTGAACAAGGTCAGAGCACAAAAGAGGGAGGAGTAGTCATTTCTCCTGGGGAGAAGGGAAGACTCTGGAAAGTGTTCTGAAGAAGTGGCGTGGCTTTGGGCTGAGCCGCAAAGTGGTGGAGGTATTTGCTATGTATTCACTGGGTAGGAAGGGAGTAGAGGGGAGGAGCCCTGTGGGACTAGGACTGAAGGTTTGAAATAATTCTACCTCTTGGGGGCTGGGAACAGCTGGGCTGGATGCACTGGCCAGGGGAGGGTCTCTTCTCGAATGAAAGCCTTATTATTAAAGAACCTTCTCTTCTCCATGACTCACGCCAACATTTCATTGGCCAGAATGTGGTCATGTGGGAAGCTGTATATATTTAATTGGGCATATCACTTTGCCAAACAAAAGGTTTGTTATTGAAGAAGGGCGAGTGAGTATTGAGTTCTCACCTCGTCGTATTGACCATTATGAGTTGTATATTTATTATTATTATTAATTATTATGTTCTCTTAGAGAGTTCACTTAACTTCTTCAGGCCTTTTCTCCTCATCTCTAAAATGAGGACAGTGGAGGCAACTCTGAGGCGTTACTTTGGGAATGAAGAGATGATGAATATAAAGCATCGGAGTAGGTGCTCAATAAATAGTGGGTGGAGGTTCTTGTTTTCCTCCCTTTGGTTCCTCTCACTTCCTTTCCCTCCTTCAAATACTTGCCTCATTTTCTCCCCCTCTTTAGTTTTAGAGCACCATATTTTTTGGACTGTAAGATGCACTGTTTTCCCCCAAATTTGGGAGGAATAGTAGTTGTTAATGCTACTGCTGAGTTTTGTTTACATTTACGCTGGTGAAATATTATGTTATTTATGGGATTAAATATTTTACCACATTTTTTGCTTCAAAATTTCTTTTCCTATTTTCCTCCTCTAAAATCTAGGTGTGTTGCATGGTCCAAAAAATAAGGGTATATGGAAACATCTGGAAAGCTTAGAGAAGATTATATTGTACAATTTCCAAATCAGTTATTTTTCTCTTTATCCTGCCAGACAGTTCATAATTATCTTTGCTCTGTAATTACGTGGTATTTTTTCATGAAAACTTCATGATTTGTTTTTAGCCACTAAAGTAAATAAACACATAATTAATGCTTGAACTAAATGTCATTGGAGATATAGATGTTATATAAAGAACATGTCTGAGGAACTCAATGGAGTTAGGTCATTTGAATAAATTCTTAGTGAAAGAGAAAGAGAATTTAAAGGCCCTCTGAGTTAAGCATTATTATTTGTTGGTCCTCTCTGATATGGACAGAATGTTTGGGTCCCCCAAACAGTCACATGCTGAAATCTAATCCCCAACCTGATGGTGTTGAGCAGCGGGGCCTCTGGGAGCCAATTAGGCCATGAGGGGGGAGATCTCGTGATTGAGGGATCTGGGTGCCTGTAGACAGAAGACCTCTAAGAGCTCCTTCGCTCATGCTACTGGCCTATGAACCAGGAACTGCGCTCCCTAAACCAGATGCTGAATCTTCCAGGGTCTTGATCTTGGACTTCCCAGCCTCCAGGACTGTGAGAAATAAATTTTTGTTGTTTATAAGCTGCCCAGCTTTTGGCATTTTTGTGAGAGTAGCCCAAACGGGTTAAGAAACCCTCTTTTAGATGAGGAAACAGTATATTAATGTGGAATTGTGTTTGGTCACTTGTAACTGAAATCACAGTGGTTTAAACAAGGTGGGGGGGTGATCGTGTCTCATGTATAGGCACTCCGTGTTCAAAGTCAAGGCCGAGACGAGCAGCCCCCCAGGGCTAAGGCTCCTCCAGGCTTTGTGCTTCACCAGGAGTCTTCACCTGCAGAGCTGGGCCACTACCCTGATGGCCACTGTGCCCAAGAATAGACTGCTAGACTGTGGTTTGTGCCCATTTTTAACTCTGCTAGGTAACTCCAAACTTTCTAAAGTGGCACAACTTTCCAAGCACAGGTGGAACACGGAACAGTACTGACTATGTGCTAGAACATCATAAAGCAAATCTCAGCAAATCTCACAGTCATGGGGCATTAGAATTCGCTGTCAATATAACGGAAATAACCCCACACACTTCGAAATTTTATGACAGATTTTTCAGAAGAATTAATGAGCCAGGGAAGAATTCGTTCACATCTAAAAGAAAGTGAAAATGATTTATTTTAATACTTGTGGTGTGCAGCTGAAGTTGTATCTGATGGAAAAGGTACAGTCTCAATGCATATGTGAGGAGCATTTGACTCAAGGACAGAGAAAGAGAAGAAGAAAGTAAACAAAGAAAACTGAAGAAAAGAAATAATAACTGCATACAGAAATGAAGGAGCTAGGGAAAAAATGAGCAAAGACAAGCAAGAAAACCAAGAGCTTGTTTTTGAAAAGTATGTAAAGTAGATTACTTCTGGCAAGAGTAATAAAAAAAATGAGAGAACATGTAAATATATAAACTATTAAGGGAGCTGTAAGTATAAATTTATTACAGATTTTAAAGCTACTATGGGGTGTCTAATTCGCAGCGCATGGGCTGCATTCATCCCAGGATGGTTGTGGATGCAGCCCAACACAAAACTGTACACTTACTTAAAACATTATGAGATTTTTTTGTGATTATGTGTTGCAATCTATTTAATGTGTGGCCCAAGACAACTCTTCCTCTTCCAGTGTGGCCCAGAGATGTCAAAAGGTTGGACCCCCCTGCATAAGAGAATAGTAGGAATAACATTACGTCCATATCTATAAGACTTTAAAAAGAAATGATTTTTCCAGTATAAAAATTTGAACAGTTCATAAAGTATGGTCCTATTTTTTGTTAAGTATATATTTACATGTAAATATTCTAAAAATATGCAAATATTGTATAAGTGGTTAATTATGGAATAAGAACTTAGGAATTTTTAGTATTTCCATTCATCAGATTTTAAAATTTTCAACAGCGAATGTAGATTCAAAAACCCATGAAGGCCAGGTCGGGAGGAACAGAGGGAAGCGCCTACCTGCCTGTCATCCTCCCTCGGGGACCGTCTCTGAGTTTCCACTCTGGTCCCCACTGTGAGCTTTCTTGCTTGCTCAGGGGGATCCTCACCACCACGCTGTGTGGGGACTCCCAACACCATTCTCTGCCTTTCCTTCTTCAGGGAACCCTCTCCCCAACTTTCAGTCTTTTTCATCCTAGGACATAGGCCCATGCATCTCGGGGGCCTTATCCCTTTGCTGGGCCCATCTCCAGTCCCTGAAGTCCAGTGTGGGCCCCCTGCCTGGCCCCTGCTCCTGGAAGAGGGGGGCTGAGCACGGGGGCACAGGTCTGCGGGATCTGGTCAGAGGGCCGGGGAGTTTGGAGTCCCACAGACACAGATTCAAGTCCTCAGTCTGCCTCTTCTGGGCTTGATGGACTGGGTCACGTTTCCTAGCTGCTGTCCTCTGTGGTTTGCTGATAATGCCGAGAAACGTGAGGTGAAGCACGTAAAACAAACACCATACTCTAGGTGCTCCTTAGTGTTTGGCTTTGGAATATTTATTTTTTTCTAGCTTAAATGGATCACTAAACATAAAGGAGAAAAAAGTCCATTTCCAGAAAGCATTAAGAATGACACACAAATGAATCAACCCTTAATTTAGTTGTTTTCCAAGTTGATATTCCGGGTTGGGAGGAGCAGGGGGTGTGTTCCTGGAGTGGAAGGCTCTCTCTCCTGACCTGCTGTGTTGTGTCCCCCCCACCCCCCCCCCCCCCCCCCCCCTGCGTGGACATTCCCAGTGAGATGAGTCAGAAAACGAGCAAGGAGGGTCCCAGGCTCTCCAAGAACCAGAGGTTTTCCGAGCACTTCAGCATACACTGCTGCCCGCCATTCACCTTCCTCAACTCCAAACGGGAGATCGTGGACCGGAAATACAGCATCTGCAAGAGCGGCTGCTTCTACCAGAAGAAGGAGGAGGACTGGATCTGCTGCGCCTGCCAGAAGACCAGGTAGGGCTCTGCGCTGCCCAGCCTGCACCTGCGCCGGGCGTCGGCCCTTTCTGCTCTCCTCTGTGATGCTGGCCTGGGGCTCTGCACGCCGCTCTTCCCCCGGTCCCTGACCCTGGGCTCCCTGGTAGGTGCTGCCTCTGGAAGGAGCTGGAGGGAGCCTGCAGGCGGGAGGGGGAGCAGGGCCTGCCTCCCTGTCTCCAGCTCCCGCCAGCCTCCCGGCGGCCACAGAGGAGAGCCATGGCTCTCTCCTCCAGCTTCTTTTGGCCCCTCTCAGAACCAGGCGCCGTCCAACGTCCCCTCAGAGGCCCAAGCACCAGCCAGCTGCACCCCCCGCGGTGGTCAGAGCACCGGCCAAGCCACGGTCCCCTCCGAGGTCCCCTCCGAGGTCTGAGCGTCAGCCACGACCCCGCCCAGAGGTCCGACCACCACCAGCCAAGCAGCGCCCCCCTCAGAAGTCCAAGCAGCCGCCGCGCAGCAGCCCCCAGAGAGGGCCAGGCACCAGCCGTGGGGGGTCCCCCATCAAAGCTCCTAGGTTCTGGTAACACCACCTCTTCCCTTTCGTTCCCCCAGGCCTAAGGTTAGTAGCTGCTTCCTGTGTTTACTAACACCTGGGTCACCAAGGACCCTCTCTCAGCCTTGCCAAACCTGTGGCCAACTCCCTGCATTAAACCCCCTCTGTCTGAAATACCTGGTGTGGTTCCTGTTTTCCTCGCACATGCCACTGGCATGGTCTTTGGGTGGCAGCTTCCACGGTTTCCTTTGTCGAGTAGGACCCGGAGTGGTTATTTATCAGTTCAGAGAGCTGATCACAGTGACAGGTCGCGTGAATGAGGATCTCCATTCCTGTGCCGGGAGAAAGGGGCAGTGGCTGCCGCAAGGAATACCTGTGTCCATGTAAAAGCAGAGGCTCAGCCCTTTGGTCCTCCCACTTCATCTGGCGTTAATCTCATTCGTTCACTTACTTGACCATCTAACAAACTTGATTCCATACCTACAGAGTGCGGGAAGGAGGAGGGCAGAGGGCCAGCCAGGTGTTTTGTGATTCACTAGGCTCCAACGAGAGAATAAGTCGTCACAGCACAGGGTGTAGATGTCCTAATATTGTCACAATGATTATGTACCTGAGCAGGGTGCTGCTTCGCGGAGGCCTCACAGGGGTGGTTAGGCTTCAGAAATAGAGGGTAAGAAGCAGGGCCGGGGGTCCTTGCAGAGAGGAAGGGTGAGCCAGAGAGGCATCTGTTCATCCCCGCCATCTTAGGAAGGTTAACAGTTTTTAAAAAAATTATATACTTATGATTGGTGCATTTTTAAAAAAGATTTCATTTATTTGTTTTTAGAGAGGGGGAAGGGAGGAAGAAAGAGAGGGAGAGATGCATCAATATGTGGGTGCCTTTTGAGTGCCACCTGCTGGGGACCTGGCCCGCAACCCAGGCATGTGCCCTGACTGGGAATTGAACCCATGACCCTTTGATTTGCAGGCTGGTGCTCAATCCACTGAACCACACCAGCCAGGGCCACAGCATATCTTGTACCAAACTGAGCCTTGCACACCAGAAGCCCGGAGGACCCATTTATTTCTGCGTGTCTTTTCAAGCCTATTCATCCAGACCCAGTGCACAGCACAGGGCCAGGCTCTGGGCAATTGAGGGAAACGATGCATGTCCCTGGGCCAACTGCTCAGACGAGTGGCCCATCCCTCGGTGATGCTGCTGTTCCCTCCAGGAACATCCCTGAGCTCAACTGCCTCCAACCTCAGCCCACATTCAGTGGTCCCACCTGCCCGATCCCTCTCCTCCACTCCCTTGTCTCACTTCAGCAGATGACAAAATCAAAGTCAAGGAAAGATAACTGATTGTTAGAAGATAAAGATTCTCAGGTGGCTTCAGGTTCTCCATAGCACTTGGTTTTTTAGGAGACCGAGATGGCTCTAGTTTTGAGTCTGAAATGGAAACACCTAGGTGTGGTGTTTTCCTGACCACCCACCATCCTGGGCTAGGCATGGCAGCACGTGACTTCTAGGGTTTAGGGCGAACACACCAACTGAACGACTACATGCTGGTCACACTGGGAACAGAATACAAACACTTCGCTTTCCTTTGTAACTGTAGAAGGAGATTCCTGTCTGTATATTGTTTTCAGTTTGTTTGGAATCATCAGCACCATCATAGAATAATGCAATATAAACCCAAATACTTGACAAGGTAGAACTGACTTCCGAAGCAGGCTGACCCACGAGCAATCACCGATAAAACCAGGTGTTGGGTCGGCTGCCAGCGTTCAGGCTGTCGGGCGGAGGAGGCCTGCCTGCTTTTCAGGCACACGGACACCAACTTATCCCAGATACTTTCTACAACATGACTTGTCTTCCTGTTATCCTTCCTGATGCCAAGACATACACTCTGAATTTCCTCCTTCTAGAAAACCGCGGAGCATTCTTTCTTTCGTGCAGGACTGGGTGAACCAGCCCCTCCAGTCCCTTCCCTGAGCCCTCCCTCCATTTCCCCAGGCAACAAACACTGACTTTGTAGTCAGGCCTTCAAAAGAACTTCGCCCTTACATGTTTGTGGGAAAATTGCATCTAAGCATATATTATGCTTACTTTCATCTCAATGGTTATGCGCTGGGCATCTGGTTTTGGTCTCATCAGCCCATCAAAGTCAGAAATTCCCTGATCGTTTTCCGGGGAACAGCAGAGTTAGGAGAGAGGCCCTAGCACCCTGCTCTCCCATCAGCCTCTTGCCCGACCTGCCTCTCAGGTGGCGTTACTGCTTCTGTGAGTTTGGGTCACAGGACTCTCTCTCGCTTTTTTATGATTTTATTTATTTAATTTAATTTTTATTTATTTATTTTTAAATTTAAATAATTTGTTGTTTGCGCTATTACAGTTGTCCTACCTTCCCCCCTTTCCCCCCCTCCACACAGCAGCCCTCAATCCCTCAGGCAACCCCCCACCATTGTCCATGTCCATGGGTCGTTCATATATGTTATTTGACTAGTCCCTCCCGCTTCTTCCCACCAGTTTATTTATTTATTTCACAGAGAGGGAGAAAGAGAGGGAGAAAAACACTGATGCATGAGAAAAACACAATGATCAGTTGCCTCTCGCACGCACCCCACCGAGGCATATGTCCTGATTGGGAACCGAACCAGCAACCTTGTGCTTTGTGGGATGATGCCCAACCAGCCGAGCCACGCTGGTCAGGGCGGTGACTGAACTCTTGAGTATCGCTCTCCGTACGTCATAAATTCCTTCCCATTCGGGAGCAGGCCTTCCTGCATCATAGTGGGCCGGAGAGCACATGACCTATGCAGAGGCCTGGGTTAGCCAGAGAGGCCTCCAGCCCCGTGAGTGGTGCGTGTTCTCCCAGTCTGAGAGCTCCTCCCCGGTCACACGTCGTTAATCTAGACCTCATGGTTAACCAGTCTCTCTCCAATAGCCTTCATCCCATTTTCGTCCGTCCTCCTGTTACCCTCATCTCACAAATCCCTGATCCTGCATCGGGCTGATGACTCACCTGCACTACTGCACGTTCCCAACTGCTGAGCCCAGGGATGCTGAGCCCAGCGATGCTGAGCAGGCTAGGAAGAGCCTTCTAGCCTTAAGGGTTGGTGCCACCACAGAGGGATGAGCCTCAGCCCTTGTCAACTCACCTGCCCCACCAGCCCTCACACATTTATCAGGATACACATCTGTCTTTAAATCCTTCCCCTCTGCCTCCGAGACAAAGCATGGTTTTCTGACTGGGTCAGCCATACCTATGATCTTCCTTCCTCCACTCCTGTCTCCTCCAGGGTCTGGCATCACACGTGTGTGTAATATACACTACCTCTTCTCACAAACAAACAAATCCCACATTTATTAGATTTATTAAGGTATAATTAGCATGCAGTAAAATCCAACCTTTTCAGCAAATAGCTCTATGCACATAACCACCACCACGATCAAGATATAGAATATTTTCATCATCCCCCAAATTTCTCTCATACTTCTTTTTTGTAGTCAACCCCTAGGCTCCCAAAAACCGCTGATCTGTTTTCTGTCCCTGTAGTTTGTCTTATCCCGAATGTCATGTAAGTGGAATCATGCAGTGTGGAGCCTTCCGAGTCTGGCTTCTTTCACTTAGCGTAATGCATTTTAGAGTAAACCACGTTGATGCATGAATAAATAGTTCTTTCATTTTTATTGCTGAGTAGTATTCCTTTGTATGGGTGTACCTATCACAATTTTCCATTTTAAGATTTAGGTTTTTTCCAGTTTTGTGATTATGAATAAAGCTGCTGTAAACATTCACTTGAACACAAGTTTTCTTTTCTCTTGAGTAAACAACTGGAATTGGTATGATTGGGACATATGGCAATTATAGATCTAAATGCATAAGAAAAGGCTAAACTGTTTTCCAAAGTGGTTGTATCATTTTGTACTCTGACCAGCAATGTGCAGTGCTCTGCATTCTTGTCATCACTTGGTATTGTCAGCTTTTACAATTTTGCCCATTCTAATAGATGTGAGATAACAATATTGAGATGTTATCTCAATAACATCTCACTGTAGTTTTAATTTTGCATTTTCCTAATCATTAATGATGTCGAGAATCCCTTAATGAGCTTGTATACCATTCATCAAAGACATTTACTGGTGAAGTATGTGCTCAACCTTTTGCCCATTTTAAAAAGTGGGTTATTATTTTCTTATTATTGTATTTTGAGAGTTTATAAAATTTATCTGAATACCAATATCTGTTTTGCAAATATTGTCTCCCAGCCTGTGGCTTGCTCTCTCATTTTCCTAACATGTCTTCCATTGAATCAGTTTCAAATTTTGACAAAGTCCAACTTATCATTTTTGAAATGGGTTATATTTTTGTATTGTATGTCAGAATTCTTTGCCCAACACAAGGTCACAAAAGTTTTCTCCTTATGTGTTATTCTAGAAATTTTAAAATTTAGGTTTTATAATTACATTATTATCCATTTCAAGTTACTTTTTGTAAATGGTTGAAGCATAAGTTGAGGTTCAATATTTTTTCATATGCATTTTCAGTTGTTCCAGCACCTTTTGTTTAAAAGATTCTCCACTGAATTACTTTTGCAATTTTGTTGAAAGTCTGTTGACCATAATGTGCAAATTTGTTTCTGGACTTTCTATTTTGTTCTGTTAATTTATATATTTTTGCCTTTTTAATAACACAACACTTAATTAATGTAGCCTTAAAGTATTAAAATCAATTGGTGTGAAGTACCCAGCACTGTTCTTTGTTAAAAAATGTTTTATTTATTTATTTATTTATTTATTTCTGGGGAGCGGGGAGGGGAGGAGAAAGAGGGAGAAAAAGATAGATGGTCTCTCACACACCCCATCGTGGACCTGGCCCACAACCCAGGCATGTGCCCTGACTGGGAATTGAACTGGCGACCTTTTGGATCACAGGCCAGTGCTCAGTCCACTGAACCACACCAGCCAGGGCCCCAGCATTGTTATTTATATTTGAAATTGTTTTTGGCTATTCTAGTTTCTCTATTTTTCCTTATAAACTTTAGTGTCAGTGTGTCAATCTGTACATTATCTTTGATAGGATTTGGAATGAAGTGGTGTTGAATTTATAGATCAATTTGGGGAAGAACTGTGACACTGTTGAATCTATTAACATAGTATACCTCTTCATTCATTTAGTTCCTTTTTTCATTTTATAATTTTCACTACATAGATCTTGCACATATTTTGTTTGCTTTATACCTCAGTATTCTATAAAAATGCTACTGAAATAGCACACTCTTAATTTTAATTTTAATTGTTCATTGTTAGTATTTAAAAACAACTGATTTTTGTATAGCGCTCATGTATCCTGTGGTATTGCTAAAGATCATGCTCACTTATTGTACCACTTTTTGGGGGGTAGACCTGGATTTTCTACATTGACATTCATGTCATCTAAGAATAGGGACAATTTTATTTTTTACTAATCTGTATGCTTAGGTTTGCATGTGGTTTAAAAAGCTATTTCACTTAGAACATTTGCTTCTTAGAGAAATATTTCAACAAATTAAGTCCTGGACAACCTGGCTTTCTGGATCACTGAAAGGGGTAAGATCTTTAGGTTAGGTTGTGGGTTTATACATGCACTTTCTTCAAATTCTTCTTTCAAGATGGGGTTCATCTTTCCTTATCGTTCACTGATTGACATGCTCTCTATCATTAAACTAATGAACGGGCATGGATGCATTTTGGATTTTAAAAAATCGAAGAAGTTCTCATCACTACTGGAATTATTATTATGGTAATTGCCAAGATCACCAGGGACCAGTGTCGCTCTGAGGCTTAGCAGTGATTATTACCAAAACTCTAGGGACTGGCTTTACATTCAGGGCCGCGCTCTTCTGTAAGGGGACTAGGGCCCCGAAGAGCCCTCCTGAGACCGTGGCCTGCATGTGGGCTGCAGCCTCCTGCTGCTTCCTCTCCCAGCCCCACGGGGGTCTGCGCTGTTTGTCTCTTCTGCTCTGTCACACGGGCAGTCTTTAAAACTTTCACCCTTCCGAGATGGGCTACGAGAAGATGATGAGCATGTTTTATACAGGGCTTGATTTTTCTATCATACTGACTTACTTTCCTATTCGAGTGGGTCATTGGGGATGAGGTGTGGAATATTTCACGTAAGCAGAACACCTCTCTCCTGTATCTGCAGAATCATCATTATTGTCAGTGGTTCGGAGCTTTGGCATAACTCTTTGACCTAAAACCCTTCATCCTTCTTGCTGAGCAGATGCCTGCCTCCTCTCTGGACTCATTGGGCATCTCTACTGCCTCATGGCAGACACCTTGTTGCAGTGTGCACGAGTCAGGAGCAGGAACTCTATCTTACACTCCTGTGTCCAGGGCCTGACTCTGGGCTTGGCCGATGTTATTGGCTGAATAAGACCTATAAATACACTTAGTCTAGTCCCAAGGGAAGGGCAAGGACTCTGGCACCAGGTCTGAGTCTGAGCTCTGCCGGTCCTAGTTACTTATTCTCTCAAAACCGTATTTTTTTCCATCTGTAAAATAAGAATGTTATGTACCTCATTAGTTATAATTGTAAAGTACATAGTTTATCATCTTATCACTCTAGGTAAGTGGATGTTATGGCACCTGTTACTTACTGGGCTCCTTGTGCTGTCTAACCCTAACTACTGGCAGATTCTCCCCAGCTTAGTTGCTTCCACTTGTTGAAATGGAGTTTGGGGGCTTTTGCCACACAATTTGGCCGTCCCCGGCACCATCACTGTGGCTGCCATTGCCCGTGAAGTGACAGTTAGTTAACTAGGTGCTCGTGTTATCTTAGATGCCACAGTGGCTGATTGCAGTGGTACCTGACACAGGGCGATGCCTGGAACCGGTGGCTTCTGTGCGACTGTCACCCCCTGGGATTTTGTATTCAGCAGGACCTACGTGAGGCTCTGATGTGAACAGGCCGTCTCGTGTCGGGAGGTCCCAGAGTCAGTCCAGGACACGACAGGGGTGCGCGCCAACCTCCCAGGCTACAGTGTACTCTGGAAATTTCACTAAACTGTTTCTTCATTTATCCTCGATCCTGTCTGAAAGATGCCCACATGGTTAGCTTGGTGTATAACTTGGGGTTTTGAAAAATGCTGTTGTTAACACCTGAGTATGAATTTTATTTCTAATTTTTACCCTCTCCACCAATTATAGAAAAAGCTGTGATTCCCGTAAGACCAGTCCTTAGTATAAAATATGCCACATTTTAAATATATATTCATCTTTGGCTTTTTTCCTAATTTTTTAAAAATTAAGAACTTTGATGATGTCTGAAACTATTTGACAGACCCTCATTTCAAAGGTGGCCCCATAAAGTTCTGCTGTCCAAATAAACCACAGTTAATATAATATGGGGAATAACCTTGCAAGCAATGCTTGTTTGGGGCCACAGGTTCCTAACACCTTTGCTGGGTGATGTGTATTTTCTTTTTGAATACAGTCTGCTCCCTGTCAGAATGGGAACTTGTCAACATGGTCATGGTTTTATAATGTGGGTGCAAACCTAGACGTATTTGTACGTATATTTGTGTCTTTACATTCATGGGCATTATGACTAATTAAAAAAAAATAATGGCAGCGGTACTTTGATTTCCTTTGGGTTTTCCTGTGTTTAAAAGTTATCTGCAATGATGAAAGAGAAAAGCAATAATTACTGCACATAAAAATAGATGGACTTTTAAAAAATATGTTTTGTAGGATCAGGCCAGGAAAATATGACATTATTTTGGCCAGATACTACCAGCATTGAGAAATCAGAGAGGGATCCGAAAGACTTCCCAGAAGGATAACCTCAAAGGCAGTTTACACATTCACAGTTACGCTAACTGAGCATGAAGAGAGAGCGCATCACTCACCGGTGTCTTGGATGTTTGTGTTTCTCTTTGCAAACCAGATTGAAAAGGAGGATCAAGCCAACCCCACGGAAGAAGTAACCGAAGAGGAGTTTCAACTGAATGAATGGCCTCAGCTCCTGGACCCACTGCTTCCTGACCCCTGCGACCTTGGGCGAGCTGTCCGGTTTTGAACATGGTGCAGAGGCAGACACCCGCTGATGCCCAAGGTCTCCGTGGCACAGGGGCCGCCGGGCAGCCTGCCTGGAGGTGAGAGGGGCATCTCTGTGTTAGGCTTCAGCCGGTGGGTCCCAGCAGCGCCCCTCAGGCCCCAGAACTCAGTGTGTGGCTCTTCTGGAGTCACCCGCAGTCCTTTCTCTCCCTGGTTCTTTGGATCAGGACGGCTCCACCACCAGCCCGTGTGTTCTCCAAGCTCTCTTCCTTCCTGTCCCTGGCTTTCTGTTGCAGATCCTTGGCCTTCTTCTTTGTAATGAGTTCCCTGTACTAGCCCACAGTCTGAGGCATGCTTGGCTCTGGAGAAGACCCATGTTCTTTTCTGAGTAAAATAATAGGCTGTGACATAAGCCAGAAATGCAAAGATATTCCCAGGGAGGGTCAGCATTGTCTAAATGCACATGTCAGCTGTAGCCAATGTACTGTGTCAGAGGCTAAGAGAAAACGCATGAGAAAGCAGCCTTCTCCCACTCCCCAAACCCCTGTCTCCAACCTCATGCAGGGATTTGTGATTGTCTCCTCCTGGTCCCAGCCTGAGTGGCAGCAGATACTCTAAGTAAGGCTCTGCTTTTGAGCTTGTCCAGTCCATCTGGATGGTCTCAACTCTAGAATTCATTGCTTTGGGCAGGTTATTGACCTCAATCGTGATGGTCTACTCCCACCCCCTCTCCTGGGGGTCCTGGAAATGGGGCTGCTGAGATGGGCCTTCCACAAAGCAGGACATACTGTTTTCCCACCTCCTCACTCCGCTAAGTGGGCAGATGGCCCCCGGGCACTTTCACAGGACCAGAAGGTGTGCTCAGAGAGTGGCTATTTCCAGGCGAGAGTAGCCAGTGCCTGGGGGAGGATGGAGCCTGCCCCGCCATGCTCTTCCTGGCTGGACCCCTTCACATCACCCTCTGATACAGTAGTGGGATCAGGAAAGAAAGTAAGCAGAGCCTGGCCTTGGGGAGAGGAGGATGAAGTTGGTGGGAGGGGTGAGTTAGGGGAGATTATGCAGCCCAAGACTTCTCTCCCTGGGCAGGAGGCCATTCAGGTGTGTGTGTGGGATCAGGCCCCATCATAATGCAGCAGGATTGGGGGTTGACTTCCCATCTCTGCTCTCTGTTTTACTCTCACTATAGGAACCCTGGACTCCTGGGAAAGACTTTGGTCTTGGTATGGGCTCTCTATCACTGTCATAGAAACTACCCACCCCTCTCTGGTCTACCCTGGTTCCCCCATACCCCCTACGCAGATACACATGAAGCAGGGAGGGAGTTTGCCCACAGGTTAAATGGAGGACTCTCAGGTCATCTTGTGGATTAATGTGTGTGTGTGTGTGTTAGCTGTGCATTAGGTTATGCAACTTGGCTTTGGGAGAACAGCTTTGCTTTTTTCAGTTTTCTCTGCCACACATAAATACTGGAGAGTCCCTCCAAGTTCCATGTTAGTTCCATGCCCACCGAGAACCCTGACCACTTCAGCTGACCACCAAAAAATACTGAACTCTAATACACTCCCCTCTGGGCTTGTCCTTGACTTAGGGTTACATTATGTGCCAAGGAGTAGCCTTGTAGGAGCCCCTTTTCCTCATTCAGCTCAGAGTCAGGAGCTGGAAGGAGAGGGATTGGGGTGAATCCATCTCTCTTCAGGCTCCAGCAGGGCCCCACTCCAGAAGCTATCCCAGCTTCTATAAGCTCGAGCTTGGCTGGTTTGTTTGTTGGGGTTCAAGTGTGAAAGATGCAGGCAATAGCTCCTTCACCTACTCCTTCCCACCTCCTCCAACACTTTCCTGCTTAGGGCTGGAGGGGATGTGAATCCATGAGGGTAAAAGGCTCATGGAGTCCTCGCAGGCTTGGTTCACTCTCTTGTGACTCAGGTGCCCTTTCCCTACCCAGCAAGACCACACTTTCTTGCCTTCTTTCCGTTCTCTCCTTTTGTACTTGTAAACAAGATGTTGTCCTATCTACTCGGTGGTGTGCCCCCCTTGGGGCTCTGTTGTTGTTCATTCTGCCTGTCATGCTCTGGCCTAAGATCTTTGCATCTGTGCCTTCAGCTCATGTGTCATCTCAGAGCCACTTCCCTTGGAAACTCAGAGTGGTTTCCATGGTTACGCTCTAGCCCATCACTCTAGTTTGTTTATCTTCACAGCACTTATTACCCTGTGGAACTATCTTGTTCATTACTGCTCTTGTTTATTGCTTGGCTTCCCTTCCCCTCCTAATGTGAACTTCAGGATTGCCAACATCTGTTTACTGCTCCATCCTCAGTTCCTGGCACTAGTAAGAACTCAATAAATACTTGTTGACTGAAGAGATGCTTGTTTGTTGTTTTTTAAAAAATAGAAGTAATTTTTCAAAAATTGAGAGACTTTTAGAGTCAAACGTGTCTATTTTATTTAGTAATAAGGGACATTTAGTGACTTGATAGGCCACCCTCTGCATGGAGCAAATGGAAGGTGAGGAACAGGAATTCGTGAAGGTAGATGCAACCCCTTCCACTAAGGTTGACCATGAAGGGAAGCAGAAGATAGGGCAAGAGCTCGAGTTTTCCATGAACTCAGGAGACACTTGAGAGTGGTGAATGCTGCTGGGAAGAAGGCAGCAGAGAAGGTGTATGAAGAATGAGGAAGAGCCCTGGCTGGTATAGCTCAGTGGATTGAGTGTGGGCCTGTGAATCAAAGGGTCACTGGTTCAGTTCCCAGTCAGGGCACATGCCTGGGTTGCAGGCCAGATCCCTGTACTCCAGTACAGGGAGTGTGAGAGGCAGCCACACACTGATTTTTTCTTTTCTTTCTCCCTTCCTTCCCCTCTATCTAAAAATAAATAAATAAGAATTTTAATAAGAAAAAGAATGAGAGGGAGATTAATTGATGGAGTCAAGAACTGAGGTTGCAGAAGGGGGCATTTGGGGAACAAATGAGGGGGTTTGGCATGGATTAGAGGATTTGCTTTTCACTGGGGAAAAAAGGGAAGAAGAAAAGGAAGGTAGACTCTGGTGGGTTTGTAGGGTCAGCAGCAGGAGCTTGAGTCCATCCCTACCTGGGGCTTTGATTTTTCTCTTGAAGTAGGAGGTGAGCGGCCAGTTCACAATGAGGGCTGCGGATGTTGGGGTCAGAGATGAGAACAGCGGAGGGGATTATAGGGAAATCACTTCATCCCAGGTCTTTGAAATCTACTCAAAAACTTTCTCCAGATGAATGTAATTAATTTGCTAATTAATTAATTTACAGTTTGAGGAGATATTTTGCCACTGAGTCCTTGTCTACAACTTCATATTTAGATGTAAATTTCAGATTGAACTGGGGACACATATGAGCTCAGATGGAAGATGAAAGAGAGTTGGAGAGAGAAAGGCAGAATCTAATCTTCCCAAGGAATAAAGAATCACAAGGAAGCTTTCATTATGGGAGGCTGCAAAATTTCTGACAGCTCACTGTGAGGTGGGGCTGTGCTGAGAGAGTAGTTTGCAGAATGCCATCTGAGCTGCTGTTCTAACATTATAGAGGTGTGCAAACTCACTCCTGGAAGGTCCTGGGAGGGCTTCTTGCCTGACTCCATTTCACATGTCTCAGTCCCATTAATAACACCACTAAATGGTACTTACTGCTTCTGCTTGAACTAAATGAAGTGTTCTTGATGGACCAAGATGATTCTGTCAACCCAACAGTAGGGTGTAGAGTTGTGATTTGGAGAAGTTTTTCATACTCACTCTTATTTTTACAACAGCTACACACCTGTGGGGATGCTGGGGAAGGAGAGTGATAAAAATAGCTTCTTTTTTATTGAGCATGGACTATGCATCCATCCTATACTACAGACTTTTTCACATTTATAAATGGGAGAGGTTGGTCATGGCCCCCATGGCCATTGAAACCATGACTTTGACCTTGCTGCCATAATGTTGCAATCCAGAAGTTTCCCATCAGAACTGGTGGAGCTCTGGAGTACTTGGGGATGCCACCTTATGATAGGAGAGGGAGGTGAAGCCACCAGGCCCCTGGCCACAATTTCACATCATCTAAGGCAGTTTTTAGGGTCTATGTTAACCTCTAGTTTTATAGAGGTCAGTGGTCCACTGGGGAAAGAGAATCTGACAGTCTGCACCTTCATGACTGAAAGCAAATACTGATAGAATATGTTAGTGATCTTCTAAGTGACTTATTGCATTGAAGAGTATACTATTTGGCATTATATCACACATTTGGGTTTAGTTGATTGGTAATACTTCAGTGGTTACTCATTTCCTCTTAGGAAACAATTCGCCTACCACAAAGTGACTGTTCTGATTTTCAATTCACTGGCTAGGTTTATTCAAAGTATGGCTGAGCAAAAGAGCACAGATTAACAAACATTCCTGATAATTGCATTTATATTTTTACTTCTCAACAAATTTACATAAAAGTATATTATACTCACATGGTACTAAAAATCCATTCCTGTTGCACATGCTACATTAACTACATAAACTACACCGATAATGCAAAAATAGGTTTGAGGAGAGTGGAGAAAATGCAAGACCACAGCTAAAGTGGTAGCCTTCATAGCAAATAAAATATCTAGCAGATTTGAATCATTTGGCTCAAAAAAAGATCTCCTAACAAGTAAAACTAAGTTCTAAAAAAGTGTTAAATCTGATGACCAAAGTGACATTCACATTTGATTCTGAAGCACATGAACTGTCCCAACAGTTTCCTTATAACTCGAGGCTGGGAGCCTGTGGGACCCAAGGATGACATCTCTGGAGGCTGGAGGCCTTCTCTCTAGACCAGGAAGATGGAAGTATTTTGTAGAAAGAAAGAGAATCTCAACTAATCCAGGAGAAAGCTACTCTCCTATGGGAAGAGGGCCTAAGTTTCTAAAGTTTCCTTTGTAGGGGAGATGTAAGTTCACCAGGAAGGAGAGGTGGGTTACAGCGTCTGGGCCCATGTTTCGGAAGTGACTGATGGCAATAGGGGTCCTTTCTGTGGTGAGTTAATGACAGGTGTTCCTGATAAAGAGGAAGTTGTTGGCATCAGGATTAGCCAAACCAGTCCTTGCTGCAGAAAGGACAAGCAAGCTTTTGGGGCCATTAAAAAAAATCCTCACCTGAGGATGTGCTTGTTGATTTTAGAGAAAGGGGAAGGGAGAGAGAGACATTAATGTAATAGAGAAACATCAATCGGTTGTATCCCGTGTGCCCCTGACTGGGTACCAAAATCGTGACCTAGGCATGTGCCCTGACCAGGAATCCAGTCTGCAACCTTTTGGTGTACCAGGATGACACTCCAACTAACTGAGCCACCTGGCCAGGGCTGGGCCACTCTTTATTAATGAAGCCACACGGGGGCCAACATTAGAGGCAGATAATTTTATCAGATTGAAAAAGTCCCTTGGCCCAGTTGGTGGTCTATAAACAGCTCTGTGTTAACTTCTGGACAGATTTATTTGATTAGTGATAAAATGGAGATATCCCTCTTGTGTCCACCATCAAGGAGGGTTGGGTAGTCCGTCATCCAAGGGTAGGGGACCCAAAAGACATTCTGGCAACTTTTCCTCAATTAAATCAAGTTTGCGTGCAGATTAGAGGGTAAGGTTTTTCCTGATACCTCATATGTCTCTGTACTATGCACAAGCCCACTGACAACTAACTCACTTCTAGGCATGCCTCTTCCATAGCAAAAAGGTGATAGGTACAGTGCCCAGCATGCACCAGGAGTATTCCATGGGAGCCAGTCTGATTTCCAGGACCTCTTACTGATGGGAGTTATTTAGTACATTTCTCCAGATTTGGTTTTATTTTTGAGATCTCTGAAATACAATACTCTTCAGTCTTGCTACCTGCAATTTCTGTCTTAGGAAGGCTGTGTCTCTCTTCTCTATAGGAAGAAATCTTGGTGCATCAAAAAGATAAAGCCTGGTGTCTGGGGATTTCTTTTTTCAGCATGGTGATGCAACAGAGTTTTACATAATCTGTTTCCACTATAATTCACCCCCAATTTCTTAAATTCTCTGTGAACAGCACCTTCTGCAGCCAACAGCTTTTGTTCTTTCTCTTCTGTCTTATAAGCTTTCTGAGTCGGGCCCTTTAACAGTCTTAGTTTTCAACTGATGGAGATCATTAAGGATCTTTACTGCCAGCTGCAAGATTTTACATTTGTTTTCAACCAGAGCTTTGGCTGCAAACAGTAAAAAAAAAAAGAATCATTCCCCAACTCCTCCTCTCTTCCCCCAGCTGACGTCTTGCTGACACCTCATTATCCAGCTTGGAATGTAAATGATGTCTATTTTATTTAACTCTTGGTAATGTGGATTTTGCTACCATCTGACTTCTCTGACTTTTCATCTTCTTACTATGGTGATCTGCCAACTAACTATTTTTAAAACAAACCTGTTCGTTTTTCCCCTAAGATTTTTCTCCTCTAATGCAAAAATCAAGATCAAGTAGCTTCAGCTGTATAACATACTTATTCAGAATGTCAACTCCATTATTTTTCTAAGCCACATCTTCTGAGCCTTGAGATCTTCTCTGATTTGCTCACTGATCTCAGTAGGGAGTGCTGGGAGGACAGGAAGAGCCAGGGGGAGAAGGAGACCATAGTTTTCTCTTCACTGTAGCTCCTGGGTGCCCTCCAGCTGCCCTGGTTTTCCATCTTTTTCCATTACTCATCTGTATTTATACAGTTTAAATTTACAAAAGATCTTGCTTTTCAGATTTCTGGTACAGCTACTATTAATCTTCCTACACTTTCATTGCTCTGGGCTTCATACCATCTTCACTGCCTTGGCCAGATCTTATCCCCAGGTGCTAACAGATTCTGCTCAAACCAGCATCACTTTGACTCATGCAGGCCCCTGATAGGGCTGCTGACCCACAGCCAGATGCATTCTGACTCCAGCTCTTTCCAATCCTGATTTTCTTCACTTCCCCAAACGGCCTGGTGCCAAGATACCGTTATGACTTGCAGATATGTTCAACTGCCTTAGGATGGTTGTATCATTGCTGAACCTACCCCCTTAACTTTTTTTCACTTACAGTTTTAATTTGCTGTTACTTACATTGTCTCAGATCTCCAAAAGTCATCAGTCAAATACCTGAATATAGGTTCTCATGTGATACCTTCCTTGTTTTTCTGGTGTAAGTTTCCCTTTGGAGAGCTACTGGGGTCCTAATAATAGAAAAGCTGGAGTCCAAAGGAAGAGCTGGGAGCATTGAGCACCAGCGTGTTTCTTTCTCCCATGAAAAGCTTCCTCTCTGGACTCTCAGATGCAGGGGACCAATGCAAATAAAGTGCATATTCAAAGCATGTATATGGAAGGGCTGAGTGTCCAGGGCTCTTGGTTTATGCATCTTCATGTGCCAATTCTGTGACCTGAGGGCACAGATTTCTAGGACTTGGCCAGCTTCAGATACCTACCTACCCCTCCAGTCAAAGGACAGTATCTATTTCTAAAGAAGGTGGGGGAGGCCAATGGAGAATTCACAGCTGAAACCACTGGGAGAATGATACAGAATTCTAGCTTGACAGGTTTTTTTCCTCCCCACAGCATTTTGAAGATATCATCCTATTATCTTCTGACCTCTGTAATTATCAATGAGAAATCTGCTGTCATTTTACTTGCCTTCCATTGTAAGTAAATTGCATTTTCCCTTTGCTTATTTTTAATTTTTTTCTTTTGGCTTTGGTATTCTTAAGTTTCGATATGATGACACTAAACATGGGCTTATTTTTATTTATTTTTCTTAGGACTCAAGTTTCTTCAAAATGAAGATATACATCTTTCTTCAGGGATATGCAAAAAAGATATTGTACAACCATCATAATGGCAAAAACTAAACATTCTCAAGTGTTGGCAAGGATGTGGGGAAAATTCTCATAAACTACTAATGAGAATTTGTAAACTATTACAACACCTTTGGTGTGAAGTCTGGGGATACTAGCAAAGCAGCATATTATGTAGACTATGATCAAACACGATTTTAGGCACCAATCCTAGAGAACACTTGCACCCATAAAGAAAGGAGATACATATAAATCTGTTTAATGAAGCATTTGGAAAAGAAAGAGGAAGAGAGAGACATAGAAAGAAATTAATCAAAATATCCACCAAAAGAGAAAGAATGAATCAATAACAGTCTATTCATAAATAAATTCTAAACAGCAGCTAAAACAAGTGAATTATATATACCTATACCAGGTAAATGAACATGGAAAACAGAATAAAAAAATCAAATGGCAGATGGTAAGTGCAATATGATGCCGTGTGCAAAGATTTGAACAACCTGCAATACTGTAATTGCCAAATACACAGAAACAATAAGATCTCACACTTTCTCTCTGATGCAAGAGAGTTCTTAAAATGATAACAAAACAAACAGCTATCCAAGAAATACCAGTCCTTTCAGAAATCAAAAAGGTTTGAAATAATTCCTGGTTCGAAGGAATCATAGACATTAAAAGGTATCTAGAAATGGTCAACAACATTAGCCCAACACAAATGTTTTTGGAGAGATAATGGGTGACGAATAAGCCTGGAATCTCTCCAAGGTTACAAGTCTTAGAAAACAAACACATCTGGTCTGATTCACTTTTGAATGTGGCTCGTACGGTGACTTCTGCAGGCTTCTGACATGGGGAAAAAGGGCAAAAATTAGAATACCCTCCCAACCTCTCTTTAGGAATAGGTAGGAAAACACAGAAGATAATAGAATGTTGTAGAATGTTGAGGGATGTTAGGTAGAGGGCGACTCAGAGTAAAGGGGGCATTCAGAGCAGGCCTGTGCCGGGAGCCTGGGTGGCCAGGCACAGGCAGGTGCCTGCAGCCCTACCGAGGCAAGGCTCTGTGTCCTTGAGCGAGCACAGCCAGACCCAGCCAAGTTTAAGTGGCAAGTAAGAATATGAAGCCGATGCCAGAGGAAGAAGTCTCATTCGAGCTGTGTGGCTGGGGTGAGAAGAAATGCCAGAGAGTAGGGAGGAAGTGTACTAGACTCATATGAGATACAGTTCAGAACACCAACCCCCCCAGAAAGAGGAATCAGGCCAAGGACTGTCCCACGGCAGCTGGAGGGCGAGGCCTGAGTGTCCTGGCTTCCTCATTTCGGGAGGCCGTCACCGTGGCAGTGGCAATAAAAGGGCAGGGGAATTCAGATACACAGAGCCTCCAGGTAGAGATGTTTCCCCTCCTCAATTCAGGTGCTAAATGAACAACAAAGTGAGAACCTCTATGATGAACAATTTCCATCGATGAGTTATCTGAGGCCATTACATTCCCGGGAATGACACCAGGGGCGCTATGACAGACTCCTAGAAAGAAGAAATTAGTGGGCCAGCCCCACTCGGACCCAGTGAGGAAAGTGAGTATTTCTTCAGTCCACTTCAGATGTTAGCAGAGCCAGACCTCATGCTCAGAGCTTGCTGGGCTCTGTCCTCCATACCATCCAGAGACACACAGTTACGACCGAGTGCAAAATTGGGGAGGAGAGAGCATGATATGTATTAATTCGCATAAAAAATGGGATGTCAACACAGAACTGTTAATAACTAGAAATTACTGAATTCTCTATGTTTGCCTGTTGTGGAAATAAAACCCTCTGGAAACTGGTAAATAACTAAATGTAATGTGCCTCGGATATTATAACTAAAGTGTATTATAATCTAACTGTGGTTTTTTTGGTCTTTTAAGGGTTGGTTCTGGGGAGCGTTATACAGTGAATATTGCAGAAATTATATAAAGCTGCAAAAGCTATTCTATGTAAACTTCTTGAGTGGGAATTTTTAGCCATGGTGTTTGGCAGATGACTCTGGTAATTCTGGATGTTAATTGATTTTATGTTCTGACATTTTGACTGGTTCTGGGAAAACTGAGGTGTGCGCCCAGAGTGGTTTTAAACGCTTAACCATCGGCTCTCTGAGTGCAAAGTCCTGATTTCTAGTGTTGGCCAATTTCCATGGTGTAAATACTCCCACTGTGGCTGACTGCAAGCTCTGAACAAGGCATCCCCGAGTGCGGACCTGGGGAGACATGCGCACAGTCCGCTCTTTGGAGTGAGTACAAGGAGTGAGTGTATGTGCCCATGGGCCTCTGTGAAATAATTACAGTTTCCTACTAAAAGTTCCGTTCTATCAAGACACAAAGGCACCAGTGAAAGAAAAAAATATGAAGGGGAAATAAAATAAATTCAAACTGGGGAGTTCAAATGTAGAAAATGGGCAGATTTTTTTTAAACTTTAAGAAGTGATATTTGTCTACAAGGTACATTTCATTTTCTGTTTTACTCCACAAACATGCTATCACACTGAGTGGACTGAGCTCTTAGTTTCTTCGGGGCCCCTCCCCACACCAACTCCACCCAGAAAAGTGCCGAGGCTTCTTTCTTGTCCGATACACTGGTGCTGAGGCAATGCCAACCAGAGAATCAGTGGGACGTGCACACTGCGCAGCCAGTGTCAGGGTGGCTGACGCAAGGGTCAAGGGGAAAAAAAAAGATGTCGGGCCTTCTGAATATTGGGGAGGCAGCAATGAAATGTACAGCCACAGTTTGGTATGGGAAAATAAAGCTTTTAACATCAACATGAATGAAAACAAGAAAAAGTAGTTGTTCAAAAACTGAAAAAAATGTATTCACTAACTGTTCCATCAGAGTAAGTCAAGAAGAGTTTCTTAAGATAGAGGCAAACTGGAAATCACGAGAAGAACCCACAAACGTTTTTTAAAGGGGGTGTGATCTCTTCTGCCCCTCTGTGATTGGTACTATTAGAGATTTTGTGCCATCTGCCAAGTTCCAGTCAAAATGCAGAAAAGCTTATTGGTAGAATGAGCACCCGTGGCTTCTAAAACCATTCTCCTAGGAAAGGAGCATGGCCCCTTGGAGGATGGTGGCTGGTTCCCTCCTTCTGGGCAGGGAGAAAGCTCAGGATCAGGTTGTGAATTCCAGATGTTGAAAGGAAACACGGTTGCATTAGGGTATCAGAGCCTCATGAAGCCACAATGATGGAAGAGAGAAGATAAAACAGACTTGCCCACAAAACACACCTGATTTCTGAAACTGTTTACTGAAAAGACTGCGGATTGAATAACACAAGTCACATGAGGCCCACACTTAAGTTTTTAGAACCTACTGTTTGAAAACGCAGGTGTTGGCATTTCCTATGAGGGGGTGGTCTGTAGCAGGGCTCTGTCGGAAGGGGTATCACAGGACATTGTTGATACTCCAGAGATCCCTGGAAGGTGGTTTATTGGAGAGGAAAGGATGCTAGTAAACCGGAGACAATCAGGGTTTTCGGTGATGCCGCGGTGACCGTTCTGAGTTGTTTTTCTTATCCTCCCAGAGGTAAATCGTAGTCTTTCTGAAGTGTTGCCAGCAGCCATTAGGGGGAGCCCTTGTTGCAGCTAAGAAAATTACTGTATTTTTTCAGGAATTGATAACATGAACTTGGACCTCCAAGTTTCTATGTTTTAATGGAGACGCAGAGAATATATATTTACAGAATCATAGCTAGAGAGCAGGTTGATAGCTCTGGGAGGGGGCGGGGGTTGGGGAGCTGGAGGGATGGAGCAGAAAAGGTAAAAAAGAGAAAGAACTCATGGACACGGATGGACAACAGGGTGGTGATTGGGAGGGAGGGGGAGGTGGAAGAGGGTATGGGGAGATACATGGTAGTGGAAAAAGTATGAAGAAAACGGAAAAAACTAAACTAAAAAAACAGTAAGTCTCCTTTAACATCAGCATTCGGTGTATCTGAACTTGGTTCCCTGGCTGCCAGAGCCAAGATGCTACAGAAACGAAGCCCGGGCACCGGAAGGGCGCTGGGGTTGAGGTCCAGCCGCATCCTAACGCAGCTGTGTGCCCTGGGATCCGCGGCTTCCCATCTCTCCTGGCCTCGCTCCTCTCCTCAACAATGAGGAAGATGACAGACGAGTGTTTATCACACACTGGTGTCTGTGGGTGAGAGAATTCTAGACCAATTTAAATGTTTTTCTTTCTTCCAAGACAACCTTCCTGGAAATGTTATATTCTCAGAAGCCAATGGTCTTAAAAGGATTATTTTAACCATATTCTCGGTCATGTGGGTGAGACACTCACACTCAAAATGGGCTTCTGCCACGCAGTTTCGGAGCTGCGTGAACAGTGATGCAGATACTGAGTGATCCCGGCCTGGAAGTGACCGCGCTGAACTTTGCATGTGAGGTGAGCCTCTCTGGATGACCTCAGGGTGGGGGTGTCAAAATGACAACAGTTGACTTTTAATCACCATTGGACTCACATTATGTTAAAGATTCATTTTCTCCTCAGCAGAGAGAGTATGCACTTGAAAACATTGTCACAGGAGAAGTCTTTGGAGTCATAAGTCATTTTGCAGATTGAGATTCTGATTTGGCGTCCTAAAAATTGCTGCAAAAACAGGAAGGCACTTACTACTTTCATTTCAATTCCTTTCACTTCTCAGGCTAATGAGAAGAGAACAGAACGGTATTACATAACCAACACACCCATGCAAGTGGCAGCTGCATGACAGTATGTTGGGCTGAGTAAGCCACACACAGCAAAGTGTTGTATGGCAGTTTGAAGAAAGAAAAGAGGCAGAAGAATCGAGTCCTCACTCGACACCTGTGTGATAGATGAGCTGGAGTCAAGAGACCTAGGTCACAGCAGGCAGAAGTACTGAATACACTCACGCAAAGTAAATGCCTCTTGCGGATCTCATCGTTTCTGTGCTATTAACTCAACATGGTTTAGTAGCAGTAGCCGTGAGGATTTTCAGTACATTCTCATTAGTTTGACTGCATAATTTCATTAATTGGTCCATTATACTAATGGATCATTGTTAAATGAAATAATAACAATGATTCGGCATGCTCAAAAATAAAAATAAATTACATCAATGAATTAAAAAATCCCTAAACAATCTCTAAATACATTTCTCAGTTATGAAGCCTATATAAATGTTTTAGTTTAGTAAAATAGCATCATCCATTATATTAAGCAGGTTAAGTTGAATGAAAGCAGTTTTGGAGTTTTGCTTCTAGACCGTGATCCAGAAAATGTGTCATGTCAAAAGGAGACTATCTATAAATCAGATCTTTATTTTCATATTTTCACATGTCAAGTCTCCTTTTGTTGCCCTTCGAGAGTCCGCTAGGCAAGACCTTTGTGAGTCCCTGCTCTCTGGTCTTAGCGCTCTCCCTGTTCCTGCCAGTCCTAGAGCCTGGCTGGATGGTAGGAGAAGAGGAAGCACTGGGCCCAGCAAGGAAGTTCTACTGAACACCGAGTGGCTAATCCATTCACACATCGCTGGGAATGGACAGCACTGTGCTAAGTCGGCGGCATTCTGGTAGCTTTTGCTGAAGCACAGGATTCCAGAGATGGCAGCCGAAGGAGGTTGGCTGGCAAATACCACAGCGTTGAGCTCCTTTTGCTAGCTTGGCCCTGATTCAATCAAGTCTTGACTCACAAAAACATGCCAAGAAGAGGATATTCAGGAAGGTGTGAAGCAAACTTTAGAATTACAGAAAGAGGTTCGAGTACCATGGTGTTAAGTGTATTCATGGTTTGGGACTAAGAGGGAGAAGACAAGTGCAGGGGCCACCGTTTACTGGGACTTCCCATGTGCAGTGGCATTTACATCTCCTGCTTCTCCCCACCTCTATCTCTTCCTATTCTAACCCTCATTGAAAACCCTTATATTGAACCCCTGGTAAGAGAGGCAGTCAATCTTATGATGATTTTTTATTTGTCTCACGGATTCTTGACTCCACTCCTCACAGAAAGAAGTTGAGAGTCGGTCTTCCCAGCCCTCACCAAGCACTGGGGAGAAACAGAACTGGGTTCCCAGGGAGGGAGCAGGTGGGTAGTAAAAAAAAAAAGCAGGAAAACTGATATGTGGAATCTAACGAACAAAATAAACTAACAAAGTGGAGACAGACTTATGGATACAGAGAATAGACTGACAGCGGTCAGAGGGGAAGGGGTTTGGGGCTGGGTTAGAAGAGTGAAGGGATTAAGCAAAGAAAAAAAAGAAAGACTCATGGACACAGACAACAGTATGGTGTTTGCCACAAGGAACGGGGTCAAGGGGGAGGTAGAAGAGGGTGAAGGGGGGATAAATGGTGATGGAAGGGGACTTGACGTGGGGTGGTAATACACAGATGACTTATTGTTGAATCGTATACCTGAAACCTATATAACTTTATTAGCCAATGTCATCCCAATGTTGTCAATAAAAATTAAAAAAAAATAATGATAAGGAAAGTAGGAGGAAACCAGGGAAGAAGAGACTTTGGGTACCCACCTGAGACGGGCTCTAGATGAATTGAATGTGGCCAGGAGAGAACAGTAAAGAATGCCTTGCTCCATCTTCCAGACACTGAGGGCATTCACGTGAGAGTGAAACTTTTGGAACACAGTGACAGAGTTATGAGAATGTGGGGTTACATCCATGTCCCAACAGCTGCGAGGTGGGGATGGTCATGCCCATGTTAGAGCTAAGAAAACTGAGCCTCAAAGAAGCTGGGTGATTTGCCAAAGGTCATACAGCTAGCAGCGACCGGGCCAGACTTCAGCCCCAAATCTGTCCCTGGGGCTGTTGCTCTTTTCACTGGACCACCCTGCTTTTTCTCTC